AAGCTTATTTATATAAATATTCCTATATATCAGAAATAAACTCAAATAGTACATTAAATCAATATTATTTTAGCAATCGGTTAAATCTGAAAGTTCGGTTTTTAGGAATGATAAATAATAATACTATTGTCCCTAAGGAACAATAATACCATCGTCTCTAAGGAATGATAAAATCATCATTCCTAAGGAACGATAATACCATCGTACCTAATGAACGATAAAACTATCGTTCCTAAAGAACAATAAATACATCATACCTTAAAGACGATAAAACCATCATTCTTTAAGTACGATAATACCATCGTCTCTAAGGAACGATAAAATCATCATCCCTAAGGAATGATAATACCATCATCTTAAGGAATGATAAATGCATCATGCCTTAAAAATGGTAATACCATCATTCCTTAGGAATAATAAAATCGTCATTCCTTAGGTACGATAAAATAATCGTCTCTAAGGAACGATAATACCATTGTCCCTAAGGAACGATAAATGCATTGTATCTTAGGAATAATAATACCATCATTCCTTAGGAATGATAATACTATCATTCCTTAGGTACGATAAAATAATCGTTCCTTAGAAACGATAAAACTATCATTTTTTAGGTAAAATAATACCATTGTACCTTAGGTATGATAATACCATCGTACTTTAGGAATGATAAAACAATCGTTCTTTAGGAGTGATAAAACTATCGTTCCTTAGGAATGATAAAACTATCGTTCCTTAGGTATGATAATACTGTTGTACCTTAGGAATGATAAAACTATCGTATCTTAGGAACGATAAAACTATCGTATCTTAGGAATGATAAAACTATCGTTCCTTAAGTACGATAAAACAATCGTTCCTAAAGAATGATAATACCATCATCCCTAAAGAACAATAAATGTATCATACCTTAGGAACGATAAATGCATTATACCTTAGAAATGATAATACTATCATTCCTTAAAAATGATAATACCATCATTCCTTAGGAATGTTAAAATCGTCATTCCTTAGGTATGATAAAATAATCGTCCCTAAAGAACAATAATATCATTGTTCTTTAGATATGATAAAACTATCATTCCTTAAGTATGATAATACCATCATACTTTAGGTACGATAATATCATCATACTTTAGATACGATAAAACAATCGTTTCTTAAGAACGATAAAACTATCATCCTTAAGGAACGATAATACCATCGTTTCTTAGGAACAATAAAATCATCGTACCTAGGGTACATTAATACCATCATTCCTTAGATACAATAATACCATCGTATTTTAGGTATGATAAAATCGTCGTATCTTAGGAATGATAAAACCATCATACCTTAGGTACGATAATACCATTGTTTCTAAGAAACGATTATACCTATTTTACCTAAGAAACAATACAATCGTTCCAATCAGACGTCAATCAGTTATAAATAAGATAGGTCAAATTTTGATATATACCAATCGGCTATAAATAAGATAGGTTGAATTTTGGCTGATTCTTAGCTGATTTCTGATGTATGCCAATCGGCTAGACTGATTTTTAATAATTTGCCGATTTTAGGCTGATTTTCACATGTCTGATTTTTTGATTTCAACCAATGCAAAGATATATATTACTAGGATTTTTTAAGTTTTTGGCAGTGTTTTATTTTAACAACCTTTTATACATTTGCCAATTCCATCACATTCATATTAACAATAATTATCATTACCTGCATAATATATTATCTAACTCTAACATAATTTATCTTTTTTTGTTCCTGCTTTAATTTGATTAACTAGTTCCTCTCTTTTTTCTGTTAATCTAATTATGTCATCAATTCAGTTTATTGATTTTATTTGATCAGTTTTTGTTTTCTATTCAATAAAATTAATAGCTCCTTCAACATGCTTAATTGAGATAATTTCTTCTTTAATTAATTTAGGAGTTTTCTTTCTGCTTTGACATATTAAACAAATATTTTTAAGCAAAAGGTGATTTTTAAAATAATATTCTGTAATGCGACTAAAAGAAACATTTATAGAATTTTCAGAAATATTATATTGAATTAAATTTTCAAAATTGTTACTACTTATTATAGTTATAATATATAATAGAAATACTAATAAATTGTTATGTTATAAAATTACAGTCAACTCTTAATATAGCGAACTTTTGATATAACGAATTTTTTAAATAAATATAATAAAAATACTTTTGTTATAGCGAATTGGCTAATCAAATCTTTTAAACTCTTCACTATAGCCTTATAGCGAAGTTGAGGTCTAGGATATAGAGTTCGTTATAATAAGAGTTAACTGTATATTATTTTATCACATTTCTAAAAATGCATATATTGCAATTTTGGATAGGTCAAAAAAGGTAAGAAATATGTATGCATAATTATGTAAGTCAAAAAAGTAACATAAGGTGAAAATATTTCTTGTCTGTAAAAGGATCTCATATGGCAGACAGATGAGTAATGCTTATTTACTAAAAATAACATTGTTTCTTCAAAGAGAACTGTTTACAAGTAAAGCTTGTATATTACAAGTATTATATTGTGAGAAAGTAATTCATGTTATCAACAAAATAGTTTCTATAAAGAATGTTGAAACTGAAGTTGCTACTTCTTCAAAAAATAAAGGAAAGGAGGTATCGATCTTTCCAAGAGAATTGTCTATAGGTAAAGCTTGTATATTATGAATATTGTTTTATAAAAAAGTAATTCATATTATTAATAAAATAATTTCTATAGAAAATATTGAATCCACTGAAATTGCCTTAACTACAAAAGACAAAGAGATTATTTCAACTCTTCTAAACGTCAAAAAATTCATGAAATGAAATTTTAATCAAGTTATTTCTTTCCTAAAGTTCAAAAAAGATGAATTATATTTCAGAAAATAAGATATAAAGATAATTGAGGATAACTAGATCACTGATCAAGCCTTCCTTCCTCTAACTGAAGAAAATCTCCTGAATAAACCCTATAATCTTATTAGTGATCCTGCAAAATCAATTGCTTATTTGATTGAAACTCTTAAAAACGAGGGAGGTAAGTAATGAGTAAATAATACCCTATTGATCATTGTAATAAACTTAGAAGTATAAAAAAAATTATTCTAGCGGATAAGCTTATATTCTGACTTTTTATTTTATAAGTAATACTATATAAGAAATTATCAGAAGTTTTAACTGAGATTGCAAGAAGTGCAATACGCAATAAATTTTCTTAGCAAAAATCTGATAAAATATTAGTATCAAACCTTTTTCAATCAAAGATGAAAAAAAATTATGGATAATATTGGATTAAGGAATATAATAATAAGAACTCTCTTTCTGTATTATTTAGAGTGTTTCTTATGCTTATCACTTATTTATTCTCTAGTTCTCAGATGAAGATTTCTAACTAATTGAAGTTGTATTATGTAATCTGTTCAAATGGAATGTGGATAGAATAGAAGATTAACAGATGGATAATGTTGAGTCATGATTTAAGAATACGTTAAATTTACTGAAAGATTTTCATGTAAAGAATATTCATATGCAAAATAACTATCAATGTTATTTGTGAAAAGCTAATGTCACTTTAGTGGGTGATGCAAATATTTCTATTAGGCTAAGTAAGATATTATGTGTCTGGATCAAAACTAAGAAAATAGCAAAGAATTTTAAAGAGGGTCAAGCTATAAGAAAGTTATTCTTAGTAGATAAACTCTATCTTACAAACGTAATGATCATCTTGATAGCTTACAATGCCTATTAGAACATTTACTTCTTCTTAATAATAGAAGATAAATAATAAAATATAGTAATATGTAATATTCATGACTGTGTTATTACCTTGGCAATAATTAAACAGTTTGTACTTGAAGAAGGAATGTTTATTCATAATTTGATAGGAAAAACTATCACTTATAATGTAACTTTATCTGGATTTCTTAAAAAAAAAATGAAGTTTGATATATATTTGAAGCAGATAATAAGAACAAGATAGCAAATATGGTTGGTAACATATCAGAACAGGAATTATTTAATATGATAGTTCATAAAAGATTAATGTTGATAAGAGATTTTATAGACTAGATAAACAGTCACAAGTAGAATAACTTATTAAGCAGTTTAGTGATAATTATGAAAATTCAGCATCAATGATATTTAGATAATACAAATATTTCTAGACAGTAACAAATGATATTAAGCGATTTTGTTATACAAATTTATATTGTATTCTTGTAAAGACCTTTTGTCAAATTGGTAACAAAAAAATAATAAAGTTATGCTCATTGTTTTTACAAAGTCTTCTATTTAATAATATTTTTTTTGAATTTATAAAGTCATACTAATCAAATTTGCCTTTTAGCCAAAATATTAGGGTTGTTAGATATTTTGATTTCATTACTAATCTTTACAGAAGGTAATCAAAGATAATTTATTGATCTTTATTGTATAAAATTTTTGCAAATACATATTAATTATATTTTTCTTTACAGAGTCTATAATTCAAAAAATTATACAGAACTATTTTACATGATCAAATTTGATTCTTGAATGAATGTAATTATGGTAAGTAATCTCTTTTATTCACTTTGCACAAGTAAACAAAAAATCAATAAAATCACTAATTAATAAATATACCTTAATTAATCAAATGAAAAAAAACAAAAATAAGGTATATTAGAGGTGCTTTTACTACTTCAATTTTCTTTGATATACTCTTTTAGCTTCATAGATAACTATAATCAAATTTCAGAGGTTCTCCTATTCTTGATATTTACCAAGAAAATCTTTAAATATTTGAGTAAATATATATAAGAAAGAGATTGATTTTCTCTATCCATATATATTTTATGTATCTAAAAAAAGAATCAGTTAAAGACCTTACTATAATAGCTGATTACTTTCCTATTTTAGCCTTCTTATAAGATTGTATTTTTATTTTTAAGTGAGATATAGAAACATATACACCTTGAGGTTTAAGCAAATTTGCAGAAATTCTCAATCAGGATGATATTGTCTTTATGATTTGCATGATATTATATTGAAAAGATAATCTAAAACTATTAAAACAAATCTACTTATTAATCTTAAAACTGCCTTAGACCTATAATGGGTTATAATTATATATAGAAATTAGATAAATTTACTAAAAGCATTTATCTACTACAGCAAGCATTTGCACTAAACATCCAAGTCAGATTTAATGATTCTGATTACAATTGGCATTTCATTATGAAAAGAGCATATCATCTTAATCTACTTGAATAGATATGAAAGTGAATAACTGAAAAGTTTTAAATAAAGGAAGAAATTCTAAAGTAAAAATATCATGAAAAGATAGAAGCAAAATCTGAAAATAATTTTAAGAAGAAAGGAAAGAAAAAGAATATCAATAAAGAAGGACTATATGAGGATCAGATGAGAAAGTTAAGGAAATAAAAGAATATATGAAAGGTCCAATTGAAATTAAAATTAATACAAAAGAGTATTTCTTTTCTGATTTTTTTAAACTGTCAGAATATATATCAATTGTGTTTAAGTGTATCTCAAAAAAATGATATACTTATTTAAAAGTTAAAAAGAAAATTTCGCTTAAATTTTTCTTAAAAAAGTGTGATCTTAACGCTAGAGCTAACATACTATATAATAAAATATGAAGAATCTATTTAGAAATAAAAGAACATCTTTTGTTAACAACTATGAAAAAATGCATGAAATAGCAAATTATTATATTATAAATATACTATATTACTAGAAGTTTTTGGTAAAGCTAAGTCAAATAAATGATTACAGAGAAATCGCTTCTATAATTCATATATCTATGTTTGATTTATACTATTGTACAAATGGAATAAAGATACGAAATCTTTTAGATACTTATGTTTTTAAATATGATATGATATTTATTATAAAAGTATGCGAAAATATAAAAAATAAAAAATATCCTAGCATGTATATATTTCTACCTAAAAGAGAATTAAAATAAAAAGATTTGTAATAGGATTGAATTTTATTTCATTATATCTCAGTCTCATCATAGCTTACAATTTCTTTCTGAATAAAATAATATTAATATATAGAGAGGCTAATATTAAGTAAAATAATGAAAACAATTTGCATAAGATTGAGTTTTCATTAATAACTATATCATCTAAGCTTGAAGTATAAACAATCAATTCAAAAAAAAAGAGTTTATATTCTGTCATATTAGAGAATTTATTCAACAAGAGAATAGAGCTTAAAGTATATCTTATTTTATTAGGTAGGAAGAAGGAATAACTTGAAAAGATGATAAATTTAGCTAAAAAAAGAGGCAAAAGGATTCTGAAGAGCTTAAATTCAAAATATTCATCTATATTTATAGATTACAATTATTAAGATTTGAAGTAAAAAGTTTAAAAGTATATATAAATACTTTTTATAAGAAAGAAGGAAACTTAAAATCTTCAATCCTTCTTTATGAATTAGCTGGAAAAACTACTTTAGCAAGAAAATACAATCTTAATCTTATCATAAAATTTGTAATAAAGAGAGGATTTAGGATAAAATATAATAATATTGATTTTTTGTATCTCACTTGTCCAGATAAATACTATGAAAAATATGATAAAGCCTTTCTTAAAAAAAAACTTTCTAAAGAAGCTTACTGGACTAAAATGATTAAAATTACAATAAATGCAATAAAAAGCTTACGTGATCAAGTAAATGCTTATCTTAAGATCAAAAAATAGCACATCTTATCTTAAGATAGCATATGAAAAGGTATTATTTTCTACTTATTTTACCAATAAGAAAATTATTTCAGTGTAAAATATGAAGGGTGATCAATTTTAGGCCAAATAATTTCTTTATGAAAGAAATTGATACTGTTAAGCAAAGGAATTCTGAGCTTATTATGTTTGTTAGAGTAAAGATTATGTGGGAGGCTATGGGTATCATTAATATACATTTAATTTATAAAATTATTGAAGATACTCTCTGAGATACTAGATTTAAGTAATAAGATTTTTACCAATTTATTGTAATGTCTAAATGGAAGGCTAAAGGAGATCTCACATGTAATCAAATCTTTATGAAGTAGATGAGAGAAAGAATAGTAAGCAAAAAAAATATAAAAATCCTTAATTTTGGTGAACGCTTTAGCTATATTGTAATAAATGCCAGTTCTCATTATAAAGAAAATAGTTCAAAATCAATAAGAAAAAGTAATTATATAAATATTTAGAAATTGCAAAAAAGTTTAATATAAAGATAGATATCAGTTACTATTTAAAATAAATAGTAGGAATGTATGTACACTTTATCAATAAAGACAATAAATACTAACTATTCCTATTAAATAAAATAATGCAGATTAAAGATTCAGATAAAAGGGAAAAGAAAATTAATGATTATTCTTAGAGAAAGGCAAAAATTGGCTTAAAAAATATATAAAAACTTTACAATAAACTTTTTAAGTATTTTGATAATTTGTTCAAAGCTATTATAGATAATATTATTGAATTATATATTAAGTATTCTAGCAGAAACATGGTAATTTTAGCTAAGAAAACATAATATTATTTATATTTTTTTTATGTAATAATATTGGTTAACTTCAATTTTATTTTTAGTTTTGTAACTAGATTCACATATATCAAAGTCAAAAAAATAAAGAATATATACTTGTTAGAATCTGATTTAGCTGTAATAATATCAGAAATCTATTTTTTCTTTTAGTTTGATACGATCCCAAAAGGATCTATTCCACATATTTTATATTTTTTTCCAACTATGATCCATATAATAGTAATAAGTAGTAAGATGAGTATAAAATACATTAACAATAACATTAAAGAACTCAT